GAGGGAAGACAGCCGGAGTGGAGTCCGGAGGAGGAAACGTAGGACCAAACACAGGAGGAGAGGAGGGGAGACCAAGGGCCCGAAGGCCAGAAACAGGGGGCGGAGGCTGCTGCGGCTGCTGCTGCTGCTGCGGCTGCTGCTGCTGCTGCTGCTGCTGCTGCTGCTGCTGCTGCTGCTGCTGCTGCTGCTGCTGCTGCTGCTGCTGCTGCTGCTGCTGCTGCTGCTGCTGCTGCTGCTGCTGCTGCTGCTGCTGCTGCTGCTGCTGCTGCTGCTGCTGCTCCCGCTGCAACTCCAACCTCTCACTCTCACGCTGCTGAAGCTCCAACCTCTCACGCTCCAAACGCTGCTGCTCCTCGCGCTCAAGACGAAGACGGGCCTGGTGGCGAGTCGGGTAAGGGTGAGGAGGAGGAGTAGCGTGAGGAGACGACGAAGAAGAACCTGCTCCGCCCTCGACAGCACCCGGCTGAGCACCCCCAGAGCGAGTACCCCCCGCGGCAGCACGACCTGCACCTGCAGGAGGTGTACCCGCACCCCCAGGCGTGGTGCCCCCAGTAGCACCAGCACCAGCCCCAGACTCTCCAGCTCCAGAAACACCACCAGCTCCAGCACCACCACCAGCTCCAGTACCCTCGGAACGGGCAGCTGCGGCAGGTGCACGCTCTACGCCAGTGCCAGCACCCCCAGAACTGGCCGCTCCTGTAGGTGCACGAACAGCTCCAACGCCAGCACCCCCAGAGCGAGCACCGCCAGAGCCCTCACCGCTAGCACCGACACCCTCAGTGCCCGCAGTGGCCGGTGAAGGAAGCGCCGACGGCTGCTGCGGAGGCGGTGAGGACGACTGTGGGGAAGGAGGAGAGACCTGGGGGGGTACCGAGGGAGGGGGAGTAGCGTGAGACACACCAGACGGAGCGGGAACAGGGGGGGGTACCGGAGGAGCAGGGGCGGGAGGAGGAGGAGCTGGAGCCAGGAAGAGGGGAGGGGGGGGAACCGGGAGACCTCGAGAGGGGTACCTGACGTAGTAGGGGACGGACTCGTCGAAACGGACGTCACGAGAGTCAAAGAACCGGTGGGAGGGTGGGTGGTAAAAGGTGAAGTCAGAGGAGCCCTCTGGGAAACCAAGGAAGACACAGGGGACTGCACGAGGCGAGATCTTGTCCGCAGAGGTGTCGCGGACAAGAGCCAAGCAGCCCCAGACACTAAACCTCGACGCAACACCAGGGGACCCTGTCCAAAGACTGGTCGGTGAAGCCCCTGGCCGAGAGACGCGAGGCCAGAGGTTCAGCTGGTGAGCGGCGTACCGAGCCGCGTAGGGCCACAGAAAATGGGGCGCGCGGGCGTGGATCATGGAGGTGCGGGCGATCTCCATGACCAGGCCTAAGCGGCGCTCAGCAACCCCATTCTGCTGTGGAGAGTCTGGAAGAGTCCAGGACTGGGTGATGCCCTGCTCAGCACAGAATCTGGCGAGAATGCCGGAGCGAAACTCACCCCCACGGTCGGAGTGGAGACAACTGACACGACGACCTCGAGAGGAGCCACCGGATCAGCATATAAGTCACGTCGGACTTCTTCGCCAAGGGGAACACGGTGGTGTACCGAGAGTAATCGTCAACGACCACCAGAAAGAAACTCTCCCGCTCAGGGCCAAGGCGGGAGGCGGGGCCCCAGACGTCTAAGTGGAGTGTCTGGAAGGGCTCGGTGGCCGGACGAAGGGAGGAGGAGTGAGGGGTGGCGCGAAGCCGACCCTGGACACAAGGACCGCACGGAGGAGCTGGGGACGGCGGGAGTGGTGGGAGGACTCGGGGGAGGCCTAAGACAAGACGCTGACTGGACATGGCGCGCAGACGAGGAAGGGACGGGTGCCCCATCCGGTGGTGCCACAGAACGGTGGGGTGGGCAAGCGACCGACACGAGCACGACGCAGCAACTACACCTGACACAGCAACCTGACTGGACCCGGCTACCTGGTGGGACGGGGGAACCTGACGGGGGTCGGTGCGGAGGGTGTACAGACCAGAGCCCGGCTCCTGGCGGAAAGTGGCCAAGGGGGCGTACGTGTCACCGTCGACGCAGACTGCGGTGTCACCAGAAGGCTCAACCCAGACCCCGACGTGCTGTCTCGCCAGGGTGCCCACACCAACCAGGTTCCTAGAGAACGTAGGAACGTGGAGGCCGGTCAGGGAACCAGAAGGAGCAGCTGGGCACGGGAGTGTAGTGGCGTGAGTCGCAATGACCGGTCCCGAGGAGGGATCGGCCAGTGCTACAGGGACAGGCGTCGAGAGTGGAGAGAGTCGTGCAGTCGCGGAAGAAGCAGTGCGACGCTCCTGAGTCCAGTGTGAAGGAGAGAGACGCGTCCGCCGAGGGAGTACCTGTACTAGTAGCTAAACAAGATCCTACACTAGCACCTACTCTAGCAACAGGCAAGTACACAGATCCAGGAGCACTATAGTCAACATCAGCATACATGGCATATGACCTAGCATCATCCATAGTCATATCAAAAACAGCAATACCACGAGCAAGAAGCGTCCCCCAGCGTGGCGGCGGGGGAGCGGAGGGGCCGTGGTGCAAGAGGTAGAGGTCGTCGAGACGACTGAAGCAGCGTGCAGCAGAGTGGTCGGGGCGGCCACAGTACGAGTCCCTACGAGGACCCGTAAGGATCCAGTACTCACAGGGACCAACGTCGCGACCGGCCGAGCGAGGTCCCCGACTGGAGGGGGCGCCACTGCGCCCAGTGCTCGGGGGACCCGCAGACCTCCACTGCTGCTGAGGGCCCCACTGCTGCGGAGGGCCCCACTGCGAAGGCTGCTGCTGCGGTAGGCGCTGCTGCTGGCCCTGTCGCTGCTGCTGCTGCTGTCCCTGCCGCTGCTGCTGTCCCTGCCGCTGCTGCTGTCCAGGCGATGGTAGACGACGAGGATGCGCGGAAGAGGCAGAGGCAACAGTGAGGAGGTTACTCTCGATCTTCGAGAGAGCGGTCTCAAGAAGATCGATGGTAAGCTCAGTGGGGTGCTTCAGAAGAAGCGCGTCGCGGGCTGTGGCTAGGCGGTCAGGGAGGCGAGTGACTAGCCAGTGAATAGTGAGCCACATAGGGGGCGGGGCAAGGGCAAGCTGGTCCTCAGTGCAAGCAGCGCGAAAGCGAGCGTCAAGAGAGCGCAGGTGGGTAGCGAGGTCAGAGACAGTCTCAAAGGAGGCGAGGTCAGGGTAGATAAAGGGTACGAGGAGGCGACTGAGCGAAGCAGAGGAGGGAGTGGAGTAGCGAGCAACAATAGCCTTATACAGATCTGCAGCAGACTCGACCTGAGCGAAGTGGACTGCCTCTGTCGGCGGGAGAAGGTCTTTCAGGGCGAGGCAGGCAGCGGCGTCACGAGACTCCCACACGTCACGAGCGAGGAGCTGGCGCTGGTAGTCGGCCTCCTGCTCAGAAGTAGGCGGTGGGGTAGTGGGCAGCGGCCGAGGCTGCAGAGGGGCGGTCTGAGTGCCGGACGCGTGTGCGAACAGGTGCACGCCATCCTGCCGCTGGCTCTTAAGGTGGCGCTGCGCCTGCGTAAGCCACGTACTAAAATCAACAGGTCTCCCCTTAGGGTCAAAACGAAGTACTCGGGAGGTCGCCATAGGGGGCGAAACTGAGAGAGCGCGGCTGCCAGCCGCGGGAGGGGGGAGACAATCAGTATCGTGTGGGCAGGCGGGGAGGCATGCAGGTGGGCAGGTGGGCGGCGCAGTGCGCTGTCTGGTGGGCGGCGCAGTGCGCTGGCTGGTGGGCGGCGCGGCGCGCTATGGGGCGTGCGGCGCGGCGTACTGGGTGGCGGGCAGGCTGCGCAGCCGGTCGACGGGCGGGCGACGCGGCGCGCGGGCCTACGGGCGGCGCGGCGGGTCGACGGGCAGGCTGCACAGCTGGTCGACGGGCGGGCGACGCGGCGCGCTGGCCTACGGGCGGCGCGGCGGGCCGACGAGCGGGCTGCGCGGCCAGGCGACGGGCGGGCTAGGCGACGGGCGGGCTAGGCGACGGGCGGGCCTGCGGGCGTTCTAGGTGACGGGCAGGCCTACGGGCGGGCTAGGCGACGGGCGGGCCTGCGGGCGGTCTAGACGGCTAGGCGACGCGACGCGCGGGCCTACGGGTGGGTGGCGCGGAGGCTAGGGTTTAGGCCGCGCTGCAGGTCGACCGGCGGCGTGGCGCGTTAGGGGGCAGCTGGCTGGCTGGCTGGCGGCTTAGGGCTTAGCGCACTAGCGCGCTGGCGTGTGTGGCGAGCTAGGGAAGGAACGAAACCCTAAACCTAGGGCCTAGGAGCGAGGAACCTAGCTGATACCATCTCAGAAAGTAGCTACAGCGGAATGAGTAGCATTGAAAAGTAGCGGTTGGGGTACATATGCCTAACCCTAACTGTTTGTACCCCATATAGCATGACCCACAATAGGCTATAACATTTGACAGATTGCTGGAGCCTGCTGCCTGCTCGTCCGCTGATACCAGAGCAACCACCAAAGTTGTCCGGCACGGGGTACTGGTATTGTTGGCGAACAGCGGCAGCGGCATGCTGAGCTGAGATTCCACTTTCCAAAGTCATGCTGCCACATCATTGTTTTATGTTTGAGAAAATTCCCTGTCCTGTAGGAAGCTTACGGTAAGATTCACAATAGAATCATGTTGACCAAGAAGAATAAGGGTGCATAATTTAGCATTCCTTGGAGGCTTGTTCAAGTCCACTCACTCATGACATCTACCGTAGGTACACACACATCACGTTGGCAAACAATTGATTCCAAGACAATGGCAACCATTCAGAAGCAACAAGCAACAACCAAGGCAGCAACGCCATGCACAATGGAGTATCCGGTACTAGCATAAGCAAGCAGCTAGCAGCTGCCTTTTTAGATATTGCTAAGTGAGGAGCTTAGCACCTAGTGCCCTCGCCTAACCCGTAGCTACCAGATTGGACCTCCCTTTCGTTCAAAACTGTTGACATTCTCACCGACATACAGTAATCTGTTTGCTTCCATCCGTCGTGTCACATGCCCTTTGATGATGAAGAGCAAAGTGATGCCATCTGATTTACACGAGGATACGTCATTAAGCTGAAGCCAGAAGTGCGGAACTGGGATGTCGGCACCGGCCTCGTCTTGCTGTCGAATTTCCCGTACACGTTACGAATCACCGGAGATATTAGCACGCTCTTGGATTCGGGTGTGACGCGCACGTTGGAGAGGTGGATGTCACGGCACGGCACGGAGTAGCTGCAGTTGAGCAGCAGCCCTCGCTTGAATGTCGTGGTGGCTTCGATGTTGCTGAAGCTCACCCCCTGCACCGCAACGTTGTCCGTCTGCTTCTCACACACCACTCCAGGAGTCGAGCGATCGCAGTAGTTCTGGTGAGTTAATGGGAGATGGATGTGGAGGGTGTGAAGGGAGGAGGAGCTGAGTGACGCTAAGATGAAAAGGCATGCTTGCTGGTGGAGTATTGGGAGAAAGGGAGGAGGTGTAACACCAAGCAGGATATGTAACAGAGGCTAACAGCCTAAAATCATGAGCGCAGCCACACGCTACCACACCTCTCCCGTGCAGGCAGGATCGCATGTGGTACCTGCTGATCAAGGTAACATGTTAATCATAACCCAGCATCAGGGTGACATGTTCTCACCTGATCAATCACTATTGGAAGCTTGATGTTCTTCATAAGCACGTTCTTAAACTGAATGTTCTTCACCAGACCACGCCCCCCCTGGTATGTCTTGATGCGCAGCCCATTGTCTGTGTCCGTTAGAACCACGTTGCGTACAGTCACATCGGAAACACACGCCACTGTGCCGTGTGCACCAAGGCTGCCAATACTGCAGATTGCGCAGAGAGGAAAGGGAACGAGAGGGAAGAAAGGCGGTGGAGGGATGGGGTGGGGAGGGAGGAGAGGAGGAGGAGAGATAAAAGATACGCTTTGGAAGTGCACATTTGATGGATTGAGTACGGGATTGTGCGTGATGCTGGTGTTCGGGTTTGTTGGTGTGGCGGAGGTTGTTGGGTGGCAACGCGCTGGCTTGTGTCATGAGTCATGATCTACCTACCTACAAGCAGTACCATGATCACAGTGGCAGTTCCACGCACAAGCAATGGCAATTTACTGACTCAAAGCCGCCGTACCGCACCATATAACACGCCATCGCATATCAGCCCACACCAAGAGCTCATCCCATCGCAAATCTCCTATAATCCACACCCTCAATCCCCCCCCAAACCTGTTGGCCGTTGTCATCCCATTCCATACCTGATCTCTTGCCATGCCTAGATTGCCGAACCTTCTGCCGCGCCTGAGTCCGTGCCGTACCTGATTCCATGGCCAGCCGTGCCCCATATGTTGGCGATGGTGACTCTATGCGCCCCTTCTTCTATAGAGATGTTGTCGTCACCTGGTAGAGAGAGGAAAGGGAAAGACGAAAAGGAGGAAGGCGGGGGAAGGGGGGGGTGGCATGGGAACGAGGGAGAAGGGGGTGAGGAGAGGTGGGGAGAGACCGGAGGGGAAGGGAGGGGGCAGGGGAAGCGAATGACAGGAGGTACAGAAGTGCGCTGGCGTAAGACACCTCGTTGCCACGTATCCTCCCTCCTCGTTGCCTTGCACAGCACTTCACCGAGCGCACACAGACAATCCAACACAGCCCTTTCCAGCACACCGGCGCAACACGTGGAGTGACCTACCAACACTGTTGACCTCAAAAAGTGTACTGCCGATATGTTAGAGCCAGCTGAATCACATTCCCGTGTGATTTGCCAGACAATTTGGAGTGGTTTGTCACCTCCCAAGCTATTTGCTAGAGCACATACAACTCAACAGCCTGCCAAAGCACATACCCGTGTGTCTTGCGAGTCGATTTAGAAGCCTAGCCGTGTGAATGTTGCTGAACTCCACAGTCACGTCGTTTCGTCGTATGTGCCCTTGTGGATGCCAAGTCGAAACCACAGCCTCCTGCTGTGCTGGAGTGACTTGTCAAACCAACCAAGTTTAGATGCCAACGCACGTACCCATGTGAATGCTGCCGAACTCCACAACCACGTCGCTCGATGCAAGTCGAATCTATAGCCTCCTGCTGTGTTGCAGTGAATTGTCTAACCACACAACAACTTGACTCTAATGCGCGCACCCGTGTGGATGTTGCTGAACTCGACAGTCACGTCGGTGGACGAGCCGATGTGGATGCCGTCCGTGTTGGGGCTGTCAGCAGGCGACTCCACCGTCACGTTTGACACGCGCACGTACCCGCTGCGGAAGATGTTCACGTGCATACCCGCGGGGTTCCTGCGCGGATGCGGGCGGAGGGGTGGAGAGGGGGAGAGGGAGAGAGGGAGAGAGGGAGAGATCGAGAGAGGGAGAGATGGAGGGAGCGAGGGGGAGAGGGAGAGAGAGAGTGAGGGAGAGAGGGAGAGATGGAGGGAGCGAGGGGGAGAGGGAGAGAGAGAGCGAGGGAGAGAGGGAGAGAGAGAGCGAGGGAGAGAGGGAGAGAGAGAGCGAGGGAGAGAGGGAGAGAGAGAGCGAGGGAGAGAGGGAGAGAGAGAGCGAGGGAGAGATGGA